TTACTTGCTTCATTGAAGAAGATTTTATTATGCATACTGTTCATAGCCTCATATGCTCTTCTTGTAAAAATTGCATTTAGGCTCTTTCTGTATTCTTCTGGCAAATTTTTGTTCATGTTGCACAGTCGTTTCTATATGCTTTCTGATTTATTAGTTTCTATATAATTGCTATCAAAATAATTATTATTTGAATCTTCAACATTACTATCTTCTCCTTCTGTACCTTTATTTTTTGAACTTTTACTTTTTGAATTATCATGTTTTAGAAGTTTAGGAAGTGGCTCTTCTTCATACTTACATTTAGATAATGATTGTCCTTCACTTATACTAGCACTTCTAATATTGGCTAAGGCCATATGATCTTATTTAGTTTTAAGATTAACATAATTCCTATTACATCTTAGACAATAACATTGTACTTTTTTTGATTTGCATACTGGTTATTCTTTACCAGATAACATTATTGTTTATTATTATATCTTTAAGATTTTATTAAATTTTTAACAAGCTGATGTAAGAGGGTGTGGCAACCTAGTGAAGTAGATAGGTTGTCAACCCTTAAGTGGCAGGTCTAAGGTTCAATTCTTACAGACGATGAATTTTGGAAATTATACCTGTGTTAGGTAACTGTCTCTTGCTGATCAGTTGGGTTTTTGGCATCTGTAATCTTAGATACACCAAGTCAGGTCCCACCTGACATTAGGAGCTCAGGGCATCTATGCAAAGTGTAATATTATATAGTACATGTACATAGAGAAATATAAAACCAGTGTCGTATAAGACTTTGGACAAACTCATAATAAGACCACCAGGCATAGAAGGCTAAGAAACCAAAGAGATGGAAACTCACTTGGAAATCTTGAGTAAAGAGGTAGCACAAACTTTCAATAGTGCCATTGGACTGATAAAAGCCCATGAAACACCTTTATAGAAACTATTGAATAAACCAGATAACAAAGATATATAGAGGAGCACATAACCAACCAGGCTACTAGAATCATCAGAGAAAAAGGATACATAAGTATATCATACCAGGCTATCTGGATTGGGAGTCTGAAGAGTCAGTTAGTTCCAAGTTGCAGCTAGTAGGAGATGATGAAGAAGAAGTTAGAAAGATGGGTACCAGGGTTTGGATGAACTTTACAAGGATAATAGCAGTTTAAAGGGTAACCTTGACTGCAAGTGTTGGCCTCAGCCATAGCATCAAACCAGATTAGTAGTAAAAGGGAATATGGCTTGCTCTGGTAGGTTTACTTCAAGGATAAAAATAGTCTAAGGATTATAGTCCTATGGTCAAATACAAATAGATTTGGGTCTGTGACCTGGTGAAATTAATACTAGGATTAGATCAGAGGGTTTAAATGAAACACCTAAGCAGAGATGTTAGGTATGGCAACTGGTAAGGAACCCTCAGGCAGACTTCTTAAATAGGTAATATAGAAAAGTTACATGTGTAGCCAGTTGTACACTCATCTAATAGTTCATTATAGATACATTTATATAAAACATGTACCCACTATAAGTATTAATAAAAAGCTTGGACCAAAGAGGTCACCTTAATACTGAAAAAAAAAACAAGCTGATGTATAGTGCAAGCAACTGTCTTAAATACTTTTGTAATAAATATTTGATATACATAAAACAATAATACTAATATTTAATAAAAGTAGAGCAAATAATATGTATATTTTAATTACTGATTAATTAATCAGAATCAAATTTTCTTAATAATATAAATGATGCATAAATAATAATGCATTCTATAGCTTCTTTACACAATACATTTATCTTTTTCTTTCCAAAACATGTTAATTTTCTTTTCTTACTTTAAACAAATATTATAAGCATTATACCAAATATAGTAATATTATGAGTACAGATAGTCTTTCAAATATACATATAGAATTTTTTAAATATTTATGATTAAACACTTCTTGATTATATCTTCTCAAGTGAAAAATTTTGAAAAAAAAACAAAGTTCTTTGAAAAGTTAAACATGTTAAACTATAACAAAAAAAATTATTCAAATAATAAAAGCCATATTCTATAGAATGTAAAGGATGAATTTCTTAACCTTTATCTATTATTTAATATATCTTCTCAAACAAAATTATTCTAAAGTAATTATTAACTAAATACAGTATATAATATCAAATGTCTAATCATAGAACTATACTAAAATACCATTCTTGATTCATGTAATATACAGTACAATGCAATATATTAAAAACAATTTGCTACATAGTCAATAGTCTGGCAAGTATATAATTCAAGAAAACAATGCAGAATTACTTAAAATGTGATAAACTAATCAGTTGCATATTTTTTGAAAAGCAATTATTTTAAATTTTTTTTTTTTAAATGATTCTTTTATTTTTTGTACCTAGTAATTTTATCATGAATTTGCCAACAAATATACAAACAAATATAGATCTCATATTGTATTTTATAATCAGCACAGTATTAAGATGAGTACTTGCAACCCAGGATTTTTATTAGTAGTATATTTGGCTAATAGATGCTTTACAACTACAAAGGCAATTATGAAAAGAGTGTACAACTAGTCACTCATACAACTTTAGTTATTGTCTAATTTAAGTAGTCTGCCCAAAGGTTCTATACTAGCTGCCATATCTGGAACCTGCCTGTAAATTCTCTATTTAACTACTCTAGTTTCTGTATCCACTCATCTACCTTTGCCTACTAATAATCCTGGCTGATATTAGTGAAAATATGCCATGACCACTAAGTTTTTAAAGCAGTTCACTTATATGAGAAACTTTTGACCTTGGACTAAACCTTTCAAAATCTTCTGCATTCTATTCTTATAGCTGACCTGGTATTGCTATGGCCAAGACCAATACTAATAGTCAGAATGTACCATTAAACTATTATGTTCTTATAGAGTTTATCTCAACTCTGGTACTGACTTTACAATATATCTCTACTACTTTAATATTTAATTCAAGTTCTACCAAGCTTCCAAATTAGATAGCCTGAAAAGGCAGATCATAACTATATACCTCTGGTTTACATATTTGCTAATATGTAACTTTTTCTTCTAAAACAGATCTTAGCAGCCTGGTTGGTTCCATTTAGCCCCTTCTTAAAGGCTGACTTTGTGTCTAGTTTTACAAGTTCTAGCTCTATTTCATAGGTCTAGTCTTTACAGTAGCACTATCGAAAGTTTGGATTACCTCTTTACTTAGTTCTTTCAAATAGGCTTCTATCTTATTTCATTTGGTTCCTATAATTTACATAGCTATAAGGATTTATTGTAGGTTTGCATCATCTGGTACCATACCAGTTTGCATTCCTTCATATAATCACTAACATTGTTTCAAAGAACAATATTATATAACTATTACACAAATGCCATATGACCTGTCAGTTATATTGGTGCAACATAAGTAACTGGTGTCTTATTCTAACCAATTGCAAGAGATAGTTAACTGTAACACAAGAAGAATTTTTAAATTTTCTGTTAATACTGGGATTTGAACTCTGGACCTGCCACTTGGGAGTTGACAACCTGACCACTTCACTAGGTCACCACACTTCTGCAATTATTTTAATATAATTATTTATTTTATTAATGATATAAAAGTGATGTAATTATGAATTTTTTATTTTAGAATTTACATTATTGAAAATGTATTATAAAGTTAAAGAAACAATGCATTTATATGATATATATTTCAATTGCTTATCTTTAAGAAAAAAAGCAGAATCACATAATTATATATATTGGATGTTTTCTAAGCAAAGGTAAATTATTTTAATGTAATAGTTTATTTAACTAATGATATTATATCAATATTAATTTAATATTTATAATATGCAATTTTTTATTTAGGTACAAAAGAATATTACAAGAATTTATATTAATCTGAAACTAATAAGTTCGTAAGAATATTATCAAAGCAAAAGTAAATTATTTTAATGCAGTTATTTATTTAACTAATAATATTATACTAATAAATATTAAATATTTATAATATGCAATTTTTTATTTGAATATAAAAGAACATTATAAGAATTTATGTTAATCAAAAACTAACAAGATCAAAGTTTATATTCAAAGCAAAGATAAGTTATATTAATATAATCATTTATTTAATTAATGATATTATATTAATATTTATTAAATATTTATGATATGCAATTTTTTATTTAAGTACAGAAGAACATTACAAGAATTTATGTTAATCAAAAACTAACAAGATTATAAGTTTATATTCAAAATAAAAATAAGTTATATTAATGTAATAGTTGATTTAACTAATTATATTATACTAAATTTAATATTTATAATATGCAATTTTTTATTTAAATATAAAAGAATATTACAAGAATTTATATTAATTAAAAACTAATAAGTTCATAAGAATATTATCAAAGCAAAGGTAAATTATTTTAATGCAGTTATTTATTTAATTAATGATATTGTACTAATAATTATAATATGCAATTTTTTATTTAAGTATAGAAGAACATTATAAAAATTCATATAATCAAAAACTAATAAGTTTGTAAAAGTAATTATTTATTTAGCTAATAATATTATACTGATAATTATTAAATATTTATAATATGCAATTTTTTATTTGAGTATAGAAGAACATTACAAGAATTTCTATTAATCAAAAACTAATAACTTTATATGTATATCTTTTAAGCAGAAAGTATATTATTTTAATATAATTATTTATTTACTAATGATATTATAATAATATTAATATAATGTTTATATTATTTAATATTTCATATTTAGCATTCATTCAATTATAAAAAAAAGGTATCTTAGTACTTATCAAATTGAGTTAATTGTAAAAATATCTTTATTAATTTTTAAATTTTTCAAAAATCAGAATAGAAAAAGAAAAGTGTTTACCAAAAGCTGAAATTAGCAAGATGACTAAGAAGAGAAATTATAAAAAGAAGAAAAAATATAAGAATTATAATATGTGATATTAAGCTGATACAGTAGTAATAAATTATTAACTTATTTTAGTAACAGTAGAATATATCATGAGAGCAGTTCAAACAGTGCTTGATGCACTCAAAAATAAAGAAAAAAGTAAGAAAAAAAGTTTCTCACCCTTAGGCTTTAATAGTGCAAACACTACTAGTAGCAATAGTAAAAGAGGTTATGCTAGCAGTATAGCTAGCAAAAGTTCAAGAAGAAGTAGAAGTTCAAGCTCTAGCAGTAGTAGTTTTGAAGATAGTCAGCCTTCTAAACAACTAACAAAGAAACAAATAGCCTATCTATATGTAATATATTTATTATTAATTGAGTTTGAATTCATTATTCTAATGAATTCTAGATAATAGAAATATCAGTAAAATATTAATTAATTTTTTTTTTTTTTTCTTTTGCTAAGGCCATAGTTATTGGCAACTATTGCTTTTATTGTATTTTTAATTATAATTACATAACTTGTACAAGGTGAGTATACAACTAGTCATACATACAACTTTTGGTTGTCTAATTTAAGTAGTCCACCTACATAGCAGGTTTTACACTAGCTGCTATACCTGCAATCTACTAGAAAATTATCTATTTAAACACTCTGATCCCTATACTTACACTAACAAATAGCACACAAGTTTTTATACATCTAAGTATTGTCTAACCTAAACATAACCTTTCTGTCTGTACATCCATCAAGCTGTTACATATTTCAGAGTACATCACCTAACTTGTAGAGCTCTAAGAGGCCTTCCTGCTAACTAACTACCTATATTTAGTATCTTGTTAACAGGGTTCACCCTTGCAAAGTTCATCCAGACTCTAGCACTGACTTCATAGCATATCTCTAGTACTTTAGTATACACCTGTTTCTGACCTCAGACTCTTAATCCAGATAGCCCAGTAGGACTATAACCTGTTTCTGGTACCCCAGGGTCTGCCTTCAAGGTTTTTTTCCTCTGGTTCAATACTTCTGGTAGTCTGGTTAGTAGTATCTCTCACCTGAGGTTCTTGTCTGCCTGATTCCTTCTATATTGGTATCTATTTCCTAGATCTAGCCTTTACAGTAGTACTGTCAAAGCTCTGTGCTACCTCTTTATTTGGGTCTTTCCAAGTAGGCTCTGGTTTTTCCAGTTCACAGATTTACATGCCTACAAAGACTTATCTTAGGTTTGTACTGCACAATGCCAGTTAGCATTCCTCTGTGTAACTTCAACTTGCACTAATACTCTATAACCTGCCAGTTATCTGGTATGATCATGTTACAGGTACTGATCCCAACTGATCAACAGATTGCCATTGTCATAGTACCAGACACAAGGACTTATCTTGAGTTTGCACTGCCTGATGCCAGTTTGCATTCCTTTGTGTAACTCCAACATTGCACAGATGCCCATAGTACCAATATACATAGCTAGTTTTTCAAATTTTTACCATCGATAGGTTTTGAACTCTCTACCTACTACTTAGAGGTTGACAACTTAACCACTTCACTAAGTCATCACACTTCTTATTAATTAATTTTAAATATGAAATAGATAATGGATCTAAGCTCTTATTATCATTATTATCTGGCTTACATCTTTTTTGAGTATTTTTTATTTTTTAGAATAAAATTAAAATATTGACAAAAGAAGGTGAATTGTCTGTTCTTAAACTACAGACAAATAAAACTTGGTCTTCACAGATAAAGACCATAAGGCAAAAGTTAATTTTAGCAATAATAAAAAAGTTTTTTAGTTATAAACAATATTCTGAGGCTATTGAAAAGATATTACAACACCATCATAAAATGCAAAAATAGTAGCAATGATAAATGCTAGTCCAACATTAAAGAAATACAAACAGTTCAGAATGAATAAAAATACAAGAATAAATAAGATAAGCATAATATAAAATTAAACATTAGATAAATTATTATTATTATTATTATTATTATTTAGAAGAGGAAAAGAAGATGTAAAGTGCTAACATATTTAATTAAATCAGGCAATAAAAAAATTGCACAATATTTGCATAATGATTTGGTGTTGTTAACAAGAAGTAAAAGTAGTAATACATACTATTTTAATGAAATATAGGTAACTAATAATGAGACAACAAAGAAAGGTGAAGAAAAAATAAAAAAATTAGTATGTGTAGACAAGTGGTGGCATGGAAAGCATGTTAGTATATTATATTCTATTAAATTAGTTGGCATTATGTATATATATAATATTAGCTAATTTAATAATATATGTTCTTTATAGTTATATTAAATAATAAGCTATCTTATTAATACTAATATTATATTTAGTTAAAAAGGTTCTTTTACAAATATATTGATCCATTTGTAAAGTCTTTTCAAACAAAAAATAATAGGATATATAAACAGTACTATAAAGGTCATGTGAATAAGAATAGGACTCTACTATAGGACTATTCTAACTGAGTACTATTTGCTGATACACTAAGCTGTTATAATATTTTAGAACTAGAATTTGATATAGATTATTTAACTGAAGATGAAGATCTAAGAAAAAAAAAAAAAAATTAAGTATAAGCAGAGTAAAAAAGAAGTTGGTGTAAAAAAAACTAGTAAAAGAAAAAAAGATGATAATAATAATGATAATAGAGTTCTATTATATAAAAAAAATAAAAAAACCAGAACAGAAAGAAGAGAAAGAAGTTCTTTTCTATCAAGTCTTCAAGAAACTATAACAACAACCACAAGCACACCAGTAGCAATAACTACAAGCACACTAGTAGCAACAACAACAAGCATACTAGTAGCATCAATATTAAGAATACTAGTAGCAACAACAACAAGAATACTAACAGCAACAATAGCAAGAATACTAGTAGCAACAACAGCAAGTATATTAGCTAAAGCAACTGCAGGCCTATCAACAACAAGACCAAAAACATCTACAGTAAGGATTGGTAGATTAATACAAGTAGAAGAAGAAGAAAACCTACAAGTATATTAAGTAGATAATGATAAAAGTAAAAGTAATAATGAAGATAAGAATAAAAGAGAAGATGAGAGTAAAAGTAAGAGTAAAGATAAAGGTAAAAGTAAAAGTAAAAGTGAAAGTGAAGATGAAGATGTAATGCAAAAAAAAGGTAAAAAAAAAATGAAAAAGAAGAGACAAAAATAAAGAAAAAGAAAAGAAAAAACAAAAAAAAAGATAATAAATAAAAATATTATATATTTTATTGTATATTCTATATAATGTAATAGTATATTAAAAGTTTTTTCAATTTAAACAATAAAAAAAACTCTTTCTGATGATCCCTCACACCAACTTTTTTTTAAAAGTCTGACCTATGAAAACTATATAGTTATTATATTTAAATATAACAAAACTCTACTTTGGATAACTAGGGAGGCTATTCACTACATGCTTGGTTGTAACTGAAAAGAGCTGAAAAAGATTCAAACTCTTGTAAGTGAAGTCTTTTGGTAAAGCACAAGTACTACCGAGCAAAGAAGTAGTAGATAATCTCTGAAGCTTTGTCAAGTGCTATAAGGGCTTAGGCCTAAATAGTTACTTGATTTAATATAATATTATATATAGTGTAACTCTTACAACTCCTTTTCAAGTTGGCTCTCCTTTCCACCCTTACTACTGGATTTTTCTTTCAGAATTTTTACCAAAAAGTGAGAAATTTGGCATACCCCCTCCAAAGAATCGATATTGTTTATCTTTCCAAATCGGTAACATTAGTCATGAGAAAACCACGAGACGAGTATCAGACCTACAATGGATGACATATGTCAAACTCAAGAGGAAAATAAAAATTTCGACCATTCTCTCTATGTGATAAATAGAATATATTATAATATAGAGATAAAGCAATTGTGGGGTTTTCTTTATTTAGTATTATACAGAATTTTTAAAACCTAGCATAGGCAAAAATAGTGTCTTCATGTTTTTTATTTTTTCTTTATTCTTCTTTTTATCTTTTTCTTTTTTTTTTGGTTTAAGTTTAGGTTTTGTAGTTAGTCCCCTCTTTTTTTACTTCCTTTTAGTTTTTCTTTCTTGTATCCTGTTGTTCTTTAGGCAAGAATTATAGAATCCTCTTGCTTGATAATTGAAAGAGAAAAAAAAATGAATCGAAAATGAAGCTAGAAAGACATTTTGGAGCTTGTTATGAAAGGAGGAGATCTTTTCATTATAGACTTTAAGTAGTCAGACGAGTGGTTTACTTCTGCTTAAAGTAATGTGACAGATTGCACTTAGGTGCCATTAGGGTGGCTGGGTGATGCTAGACTTAGTTGTTAGATAAATCTATGTAATTGTAGCAATTGCAAAAATCTTAATAAAGTACTAGCATGACTGTCTATAGTTTTTTTTTTAAAAAAAAAAAAATAATATATTAAATAATAAATAAATATTATTTAATATTATATAAATATTAGTATAAGTAAATTTAAACATCTGATAAATAAATATTATATAATAAAGTGATATTTTTTATATATAAATATATACATGATATTGTTCTTAATTTTACAAAAAATATGAACTGATATTTTACCAATAAGTTAATATTCAACTATTAATAAATAAATATCATCAAATATTGTTTTAAATATATTCAATTGATTAAAATATCATCTAAATATAATTAAGATGATATAATAATAGTGGGATGTGGCGACTTAGTGAAGTGAATAAGTTGTCAACCCCCAAGTGGTAGGTTGGAAGTTCAAAACCCACTGACAGTGAAAATTTGGAAAACCACCTATGTTACATCGATGTATATGGGCATCTGTGCAATGCTAGAGTTATACAAAGGAATGCAAACTGGCATTGGGCAGTGCAAACACAAAATAAGTCCTTGTAACTGATAATATGGCAACAGCTATCTATTAATTAGTTGGGATCAGTATCTGTAACATAGTCACACCAGATAACTGGCAGGTTATGGCACATCTGTGGCTATGTAAATCCATGAACTGAAATAACTAAAGCCCACTTAGGAAGACCTGAGTAGAGAGATAACATGGATCTTCGACAGTACTACTATAAAGGCTAGACCTAGAAAACAGATACCAACATAAAAGAAATCAGGTGGGCAAGAACCTTGGGTAAGGGGTACTACCAACCAGGCTGTTGGAAGTCTTGAACCAGAGAAAAAAGACCTTGGAGGGCAAACCCTGAAGCAGAGTTGTTAATTAAACAATGTCTAATTATAATTTTTATTAAATCAATAGACCATTAGACTGGTTAAAATTAGTCTAAATGATCTAATAAATATAATTTAGATGTTATTAGACTAAGTCTAAAATAAATAAATTAAATAAATTTATATAGTCTATTGGTCTATTGGTCTATTGATCTAATTTTTTTTTTATATCTATAGTTCAGTAAAGTAATGAAATATAATATGTTAAATTAGCAAATATTTGAGTATAAATGATTAGATCATAACTGAATATAAAGTAATATATTATGTATATATAGTATACGGCATTAGAGAAAACTAAACTTCAAGCTTTATAACTGCGTCACCATTATTCAAGGGCACATCACATTATAATCTAACCTTCTAATATGCCAATGCAGTAATTCTTGAATCTTTTTATATGTATCTGTAGTCTATAACAGTAAAATGATCTTTTTTAAAAAATATTTATTAGAGCTCAGTATTGGAATATAGTAAAAAATTTTTATTATAACTGTCAGTTCATTATACAAAAGTTACTGTATACATTTGTTTATTATTCATATGTCAACTAAAAATAAAGGTGGCTCATATATAGAAATACAACACAAACATATGATTACAATACATTCACACTATAGTGAAGTCCTTACTACAACTTAAAGCATGAAAATACTAGGCTTGAAAATACTAGATGTACTTTATAATTCTATAATTCAAAATTTTTTATTATGTCAAGAGTTCACTCTAACAAAGGTAAACTGTATTTAGCTACTGGTTCTTTTTGTTGTTTAATTCGTGAGTATATTTTTAGAACTCTACAACCTTTTATTGTTTTGTCTTAATTATTTATTTGTGTTAATTCAGTTCATGAATAAAGGCAAATTCGTTTATAAATTCAGTTATAACGAAAGTTTTTTATAATGGGCTTCTTTAAATCTAATGAATTTCGAAATTTTTAAATTTATATTATTGAGTTTGTATATAGATTATGTATACTTAATAATTTAATATCATTTGAACAATTTAATTTATATTTACAGTTCATTTTAAATCTGTTTAAGATTATTATTTATTAATCAAGTTTCTTTTTAGAATCAGAACAAATGTTACATAAATGCCTTTTTAGACCTTCAAATGATGGCAGACAGTGTAATTTGCATTCTTTCAGCCATAGTCAATAATCAAAAAGGTGCTTTTTTAGACCTTCAAATGATGGCAGACATTAGTGTAATTTACGTTCTTTTAGCCATAGTTGATAATCAAAAAGGTGCTTTTTTAGACCTTCAAATGACAGCAAACATTAGTGTAATTTATGTTTTTTCAGCCATAGTCAAAAAGATGCTCTTTTTAGATAGTAATCTTAAGGTTGGAATGCTATATGATTACATTCTCGATCAGTAGTAACATTAGACTTTTATGAAAATTATGATTTTTGTTAAACATTAAAGCGATCTCATTAAAATCTCAATTTGGTGAAATCAGAAGCAAAAATAATAATTTAAGTCACTTCTGAATTCTTTTTGGTACTGTATGCGGACGAAAAAAATACTGCTTTTAGTCAATCAAATAATGAAGTATTGTTGAAAAGTATAAAAGTCTTATAAAACATGTATTATACTAAAATTTTGCAAAAAAATTTTTTTTTTGTTAGAACATGAAAGGTGGTTTTGAGTAAAATTTTAGGTTACTGACGAGTTTTGAAAAACTTTAATTTTTTTTAAAAATTTTATATTATATCTAATCTTATAATTTCATTGGTAGAAGAGTAGTGTAGTCTACTTTGTCTAATCAGAGATGGAATTTACAAATGCCTAATTACGATTAGTACTTGGAATTCCAAAATATGCGACCCAATTTTATATATAAAATTATGTAGTTTATCAATCAACGATCACTTAAAAATAGACTTTTTTATAACATCATATATATATAGTTTTATATTAACCGATTTGGAATTTTTAAAGATTCTATTTTATGCAACATTACTATAAATATGAAATAACTGATAATCATTTAGATTTTCAGTACATATATATGTGCAAGATTTTTTTTTAAAAAAAATGGGTTGACATGTTGGTAGTAAAAAGCCACATTATTTTACACCATATTTGATAATAGGAGACTATACTAATAAAAAAAAAGTTAATAGATGGGCTACATGTAAGGCTTGTTACAATATTCTTGGAAAAGAAGCCAAATTAAATGCGGCATTTGTTAATCAACTTTAAAAAGCACAAAGGTACTGCTTTAATTGTGAACATTTTAAAAACTCCATAACTAAAGATGAATTTAACAAATTATTGTCAAAATCAAAAAAAAAACCAAGAAATATCAGATTCTACAGGTAATTTATTCTATATATTATAATAATAAAAAAAAAAAAAAAAAAAACTCATTATAGATAAAATATCTTAAATGTAGTTCAAACAACGATAGACTCGCATTTAGCACATCAATATACACTACCTGAAAAAAAAAATTGGGAAAAACTTGTTTTAGATGCTACTGTCGCAAATGGTTAGGCTTTTAATTGGGTTACCAAAAAAGAATCAATTGCATTAATTAAATTTAAAGATCCTAATCTTGAATTACCAAGTCAGTATGCTTTAGGTAGACGAATTCTAAAAGTTGAGGTACAACAATTAAATAGCATACAAAAAGAAAAAGTGATTAAAGATATTGTTGGTGTAACAGTTGCTTTTGATGGTTGGAAAAATATAAATAAGAAGTCAATTTTTGGAAAAATTTTAATAACCTCGAATGGTGAAGTACTAATATGGGGTGTTGAAGATATCAGTGCAGAATTAGACTGAATGATCATAGTTATTCCAAAAATAGAGACATTTCTTGAAAATTTAAAAGAAAATCAAATTAAAGTTGCTGCAGTTGTATCTAATTCAGCATCAGCATATGCAGCTGCATGGTAAATAGCAATAAAACAGGATAAAACCTAACTTGTAAGTTAGTAAAAATTATTACATAGATTAAGTTAGCATATCTACTATAAGTTATATATTTTTTTATAACCAGGTTTGCTAGCTTGCAATTCAGGTTTTATTCTGTTATATAATGGTAATTAATACATACAGATGTACATATTTATAAAGTTTTTTATTTTATAGTCATAGATTGCGTCTCAAATATTGACATATTATATTTATCCATGTTTCGCTCATCAAATGAATCTGTGTGTTGGCGATCTTTTTAAAGAATGTTTTAAATTTAAAGAGATGTCAAAAAAAGTGATTAAAATAATTTGATTTTTTAATAATTCTAATAACACATACTGGATTAGAAAACTTCGAGATAAGCAAAAAACAACATATAAATGATATATTTCTTTATGTCACCCTTGTGATACTAGATGGAATAGCTATGGCAAAGCATTTAGCAGTTTGTTAAAATCCAAAGCATCATTAGTGGTATTTTAAATATATATATTATTATTATTTTTTTTTTTTTATAATTTAAAATTTATTTTAATTCTTATTATTATAGTTTCTTGCAGCTAAATATGTTATACTAGAAGATGGTAAATTATCATTATCAGAAGTTGTTTGTAAGCCTGTTGGTGATCCTGATTTTTGGTCGACAATAGTGGAATTACAATTATTATTGGCTCCTATTTGTAATTGTCTTAATCAATTACAAAAAGATACATCAAAATTATATGATGTTCTTCATACATTTGGATATCTTTATGAAATAATGAATAAATATTCAGACTATGAATTTGGTGAAAAAATGAAAAAAAGACTAGAATGACATTGGAAAAAGTAGGAACAGCCACTTTTAATTCTTAGCTACTTATTACATCCAGACATACGGCTTATACAATTTAATTTGCCAATTAAAGGAATTATATTTGCTGAATTAGGACAGTAGATTACATATTATTTTTATGCATAGTTTGGTTGTCCATCAACAGCATTAATAGCTGAACTTCAAGAATATCATGAAGAAAGTTTTCCTTTTACAAAAAGTATTTGGAAACAATTTAATGGAGATATTCTTAAATATTGGAAACATTGTGCAGAAATTAAGCCAGAATTAGGTTTTGTAGCACTATATATTCATGATATATTAGTAAATAGTGCTTCTGTAGAACGTTTGTTTTTCTCGATGAGTTTTTTTTATACAAAATTACAAAATAGATTGGGGGTAAGCAATTAAATAAATAAATAAATTATATAATTTATTAATTATTTATTTAATTTTTTTTTTTTTTATAATTATAGGATGAAAAAGTTTTAGAAATGAATCAATTATGCACTAAAATGAAGTATTTATAGCATCTTAAGAAAATTCAAAAGGAAGCAGAAAAAAGTTTTAATTTCACATCACTGATTTATTATTCATTTGAAGATAATTTTAATGATAATGAATCAACATACAAATGTGACTTTGATGAAAATAATAATATAATTGAAACTTCTGTGGAATAGAATAAGATTCTAAATAGTTGGTTTTCACTTGTCGATGATGAAGAATTAGCTTATGATAAATTTAATGAATTTGAGTGTAATGTTACATTTGATGAAGAAAATATTAATGTCGAATTTATAGCTTGTGAAACTCAGCATCCTGCTGATAACTGCAATGCAAAATGGTTACTAAAAAACCTTTTTATTAATAATTTACCAGAACTCTCATATGTGTTAGCTGCTAAGAAACGTGAAAAAGAGAAAAAAAAGAAAGAAACTGAGTATTTGCATCAAATAGCAGAAAAAAATAATCAAAATTCTGTAATAGAAATAGAAGAGAATGAAATTAATCATTCAAATGAAAACAATATGTAATTAG